CTCCATTGCTGAGGTTTAAGAAGAAGAAAAAAACTCCAGAAACAAACACTAAAGCCACCTCCATTGCTGAGGTTTAAGAAGAAGAAAAAAACCCATAAACAAAAAGTAAAGCCACCTCCGTTGCTAAGGTTTAAGAAGAAGAAAACTCCAAAAACACTAAATCCACCTCCGTTGTTGAGGTTTAAGAAGGGAAAAAAACTCCAAAAATAAACAGCAAAGCCACCAACAACACAGCACAGAAACATACCCACCCCAGCCAAAACCCACCCAGAACAGTTTTTTAAAAGGAGAAAACAGCAGCTTACCTCCCTGCAGACAAACACACACACTCTCACTCCAAAGCAGAAGGAGGCTCTCCCAAGCCTCCGATGACGACAACACACCAACTGCCGAAAGTGAAAGAGCTACAGTACAAAGCAGCCTCGTTGCCATCTACAGTCAGAAATCTGAATTGCCCGCCTTTTTTCTCTGCCTTTTTTCTGTTCATAAGTGGAGGCTCCGTTCGCAAGTCAAAGCAAAATGTTGCGACCGGAGCTGTTCGTAAGTCAAAATGTTTGTAAGTAGGGACGTTTGTAAGTTGAGGCACCACTGTATGCATTTTTCCTCATCTGTGCAGCTATAGGTGCTTTAGGTAAAGGTAAAGATTCCCCTTGACATTTAGTCCAGTTGTGTCAACCTGTAGCGTGCGGTGCTCATCCCCATTTCCAAGCCGTAGAGCCAGCGTTTGTCCAAAGACTGTTTCCGTGGTCACGTGGCCAGCGCGACTAGACACGGAACGCCGTTACCTTCCCACCAAGGTGGTACCTATTTATCTACTCCCATTTACATGCTTTCAAACTGCTAGGTTGGCAAGAGCTGGGTCAAGCGATGGTAGCTCACTCCATCGCGTGGATTCAGTCTTACAACTGCTGGTCTTCTGATCTTGCAGCACAGAGGGTTCTGCAGTTTAACCCACGGCGCTGCCACGTCCCCCTAGGTGCCCTAGTTGTGTTTTTAAAAAGACAACTGAATTTTTGTGTCAGCTTCCATGTACTTGGGTTCACTTGGTCTATCACAGATGTAAGAAGTATTACTTGTAATTGATGGATATCATGTGTCAGTGTGTAGACAGAAGAGTATAAAAAGTAGTATCAGGTGTCAATGAAATAAATTTGTAGTCTGTGGCAATCTCAGGATGCTCCACCTGGCAGACAGACACCTAGATGTGGCTGACTCATGTGAAAGTCCTGAGAAGGATTTATGGTCTAGCCAGGTCTAGCTCTGCCTAGCTTCCTGTGCCAAAGGAAGCTACCCTAATGCTTAGCTGGGAACTTCCTTTCCAAAAAGGGAGCTAGGCCACAAAGCCTTCCAGCTTAGCTCTCTCTCCCCGGTGAGTCACATTTAGATTTCTGTGTGTCAGGTGGAATTTCCAGAATATTGGTAGAATTTTGGGATTTATAGTTTAAAAATTTTAAATATCCCATGTCTAGTAATTGATGATAACTTAGTAATGCTAGGAGAGTTGTATTGCTGAATACGTGTGGGGTACCTAATTGTGGTTTTGATTTAAAGCAGAGATCCAAAGGCCAATTCCAATCCTATGGGCCTTTGGGCCAATGCTACCAGATCTCATTGACAGGATTGTGCTACTGCCCTACCCTCCCTACATTTTATTTGCTTTAAATTATGTATTCCCGGTTTGCTGCACAGTTTGCTAGTGAACTGCTGCAAGCCGCCATCCTAAAGCAGAATGCTTTATGAATTGGATTTTCTTGGCTTAGCAGAATAGTTTTGTGGCATGCCTTACAGGAAAAAAAGCCTTGGGGTGTCTGTGCACCCTTCCAGTTATGTGTTCACCATGCTTAATTTAAAGGTTAAAATTGAACCTCTCTAATTAAACTATTTCACATCAAAGGCTCCCTTCTGAACTTCCTTTAGCAAATGGTTACTGTCACATCAGCAGTAGTGCCCTGGAAGCTTAAAATATTTTCTTCAACCAGAGTTGTCTCAGGTCATGGATCATTACAAGTTGATGTCAACAGCTCCCATGCCAAGCCTGCTCTTCTGCCTTCTATCATGGTGTGCAGATGTTAAGAAGCACTGTAAGGGTGGGGAAATGACTGCCTCTTTGTTTCTTCTGATTATATCTATCTTTGTTTTATGCCACCATCAAAAGAAACAGTTGCAATATTGTGAAAGCACAAGGTTCAAGTGGCTAGCTTATATCAAATAAGTAAGAGTAGACATTAATAAGAAAGCTTGGTGTGTTTGTTCTTATCTCTAGGCCAGATTTTTGTGTGGTTTGTGAATCCAACAATTGAGCTCCTGTAAATGAATTCTTGTTTCACTCTCTAGGGGAACGTGCCACTGAAGGACTTGAACACACGCCCTATGGAAGTGTTCATGTGCAGTATACTGAAGAGGCAAGGCTATGGTGAAGGTTTTCGTTGGCTATCACAGTACATTGACTGATATTTAGAGAGAGAGAGAGAGATCTACCCCTGGACTGATCCCATTCACAGCTTCCTTATGGACTTTTCTATTAGAACATGGAAGGCTCTGCAACCACATACTGGCAGTTACCAAGAGACTCCTGTCTTCAGTGACCCTACATCACATTGGTGACACAATTTTTCCCCTTTGTCTTGGAAATTCTGTATACTGGTGCAGGTTGTCACTTCCGGCTGCCATTGTTTCCCATGGAAACCATGGCTTTCAGTTTCAGTGGGACTGCAGAGCTCTGCATACAATACACAAGTAGCTGGAAAAGAGAACATGTCTCACCCCTGTGGCCAATTGACTTAAAAGAAAGCAACTCTGTTTTTTACCAAATGCATTAATGTAAATGGTGTCCCTTTGAATTGCTCAAGTTAGCATTCATCTTGTTTGAGCCAGAATCTGTTAGCTTTTTTAAAAAGTCTATTATTATTCCCAAATGACTAAATTTCAGTTATCATGATATCGAAAATCAAAAGCGAACAGAAGAAGGGGCTCAATTGCACTGCGGTGTGCTGTCATATTTCCTGATCATGAAGATTGTGCTGTTAGGATTGATTTGTGCAGTGGTTTTCTCCCTCTTCCATTTACAGGGTTATAGTTCAGGAGAGAAATGGCATATGTGCACGCAGGGACACATGTTCTAGCTTTCTTCATCATAATACATAGAAGTCTGAAATGTAGTTAATTATTTGGCCCACCTCTAAAAGTTATAGTCACTTTTGTCATTGGCAATCCTTCCTTTCTTTGCAGCAACAGTGGCAAGGTTATCTCACACATCTGATAAAGGATGTCTTATATTGCAAGCAATTCTACAAAAAATGAAGTAGAAAACATGAATTTATAATGTTGGGTTACTGTAGCACTCAATTGTTCCAGCAAGTACATATCATTATATTCTTAATGTAAACTAACCCTGTTTCTTTTATATTCAACAAAGTTTGTGATTGAACTTTCATTATTTAACTAGACATGTTTATTTTTTAGTTAAACAGATAAACATCTTCGTTCATGGCATGCAAATCTGGTTGAGTTGAAGCTGTTTCTAGGGTTCACTGATAGATTTTTTTCATATTGTAAGGAACTGCAGCTCAAAGTCTGAAAACATTTCCTTGGCCACTCTAATACTAAAGCTGAAATGCAGAATTGCAAGAAATCAGATGAAATATTGTGCCATAGGCACTTAATTGTGTTGCTGAGTATATCACCTGGTTCCACTTGGAACTTGATGAACAGACTTTGTTATCTAGAACCATTTGTTTTAGGATTGAGTTCCTTGACAGAGGAAAAAAAGTGTATAATGTAACAGATGAAAGTTGCTGAGTTTTTGTGCTTGTGATATTGAAAATCAGTTTACCTTAACCTTTAAATCTATCCTTTCACCTTTTGCTCTGGCATGTCAAAATGTGATACTCAAATATTAACACTTGATTGTCAGGTGTTCTCACTGAGTTCTCTATGTAAACACAGCTGTAAGACAGGATAAATTCACTTTTTCTGCCAGCAAGAAAAGCTGAATGTACTGCAGAAAGGTATGTTTAATGGTATGTACAGGATGATGGCTCTGATGTACAAAGTGTTACAATGGGTGTACGTCCAAGGAAGTACTGTGAGATACTTCCTTGAAAAAGGTAACTAGATACAGTCTGATTAGCATCAAGAAGGCTCTCCTCTCACTTCTAGGATATTAGTAACTCCAGATCTGTTTGCAGTGTCTACCAAAATTGCTGCATTTAGTGTCATTATTGAGTTTAATTTATGTAAAGCCCCCAGGTTTTACATAAGTGTTTCAGTCATCTTTGAATATTTCTTAGGCCAAAGTGCCTATGAGTGTGGTGCCAAGGAGGTCCAGAAGAATCACATCAGTCTACAGTAATCCAGCAAACATGATTGATGACGTGCAAAACAATTGGTATCTCCAGTACAGAGCACCTAGAATTCTTTGGTTGGCTGCTAGTCAAGGTATGAAAATGGGTGGTTCCTCTTGAATCAACAAGAGGCCTGGTAACCCTTATCTGAAATGGCATATTCTGGTTCTATGTTTAGTGGGGGAAAGACCCTCTGTAAACAAGAGTTCTAAAGTAACCCAGCAGGAACAAAGCTTTCTATGAAAGTGGTGTCTTACCACTGGAGAAAGAGACAGTTAACAACGGTAACTTTCCCTTCTGCCTACCATGTACTATCATTAGACAAGTCTAACTCCTTACATTGTATGGATATAAAATTTAATATATTCCTTAGAAATTGGATTGCAGATTGGAAAATAGGGAGAAATGTGTCATTCGGTTAGCAAAATGTTTTAACTCCCCATTTCTGGAAATGTGAAACATGTTTGCAGAGAAACTTTGTCTGTATCCAAAACATTTTAATAAAAGTTTTTTAAAAATCATATTCACACACGATGGGCTGAATGTGGCCATAATTCTCTTAGCTAGTAATAAACATGGTTTGAGGTGTGAGAAGTCACCTCAGCCACGTACAGTCTGACTCTCAAACAAAGACAGAAGAAGAGACAGGAGTTATTGAAAGGGAATTAAGAAAATTAGACATAGGAAAAAGAAGGGGGTGCCGATCAGGCGGGAAAAGAGAAGGATAAGGAGAAGAGGCAGAAGTATGTTGGGGAAAAGAGAAGGAAGTAGAAAAGGAAGAGCTAGTGGAATTCATTCAGGAAGATCCTTGGATGGGAGAGTAGGTGGAATTTTGAGAACCCCATGAATACGCAGAGAAAGATTGGAAACGGCAGGTGTGTAGGAAGCCACTGTAATGGGGGGAGACTGAGGAGAGAAAGCAGAGGAAAGAATATAGAGCATGGGGGAAAAGGGAAGAGAAGAGAAAGACAGATGAATAGTGAACCCGGAGAGATCCCATGGGCCCAGTCCCTTCAGACCCCGACAGAGACAAGTTCGTGGCTCGACAAAGGGAAAGCCGTGAGAGGGCTCTGCTTACACTCCTCAGAGTTGAAGTTAATGGACGATACACCAGATGCTGGGCACTAAACCAAAGTGGGCCCAAGACGTTACCAGTTGTTCACATTATATCGTGGAGAGTTACCCAGTTTAATAAGGTTAAGACTTACAATTTGCCCTTAAGTATTACCTCTTAGGTGCCCCTTTCACTTTGGTGGCTGATCATGCCCTTTGCAGTGGCATGTGTATCGTCTACTACTTTGGGCAAAGTTACTAAAACGGAGGTAGAAGACAGGCAGCAAGATCACAGGTGTCCTTAAACATTTAAACATTTTTTAAAAGTTTATAATGGAATCCACTGCATAGCTACTCAAAAGCAAATCCCACTCAGCCCAGAGGAGCTTCCTGCCATGCAAGCATGGACAGAGACATCACCTCAGAATTGGGCATCTTTCCCCGGTGAAGCAACCACAGCAGAGTTTGGCCAATACAGTTCTAATCAGCCACTGCTGATTTCACAACCCTTGCTCTATATCTCCAAGTCGCATCTGACTTACGGCAGTCCTTAGTTTTGCAGCTATGTGACAGGTTTAGAGTGCTTTTATCACTGTCAGCCCTCCAGTGAGCTTCCAATTGCCAACAGGGTTTGAACATTGGGTTCCTGAACCCACCACACCATACCCAATATGGTGTAGCAGACAAGTGATGGACTAGGACAAAGGAGAACTGGGTTTGAATCCCTTCATGGAAACTCATGGGCCAGGGTTGAAACTGGAGGAGTATCTCGCCCTGAAAACCCTATTAGGGTCCTTATAAGTTGGTTCTGACCACCGCTTTTGTCACTATCCACTGACCAATCTGGCTTTCAATAGCTTTTTCAACTCGCCCTAGTAATATAGAGAAAACTATAATATTCAGAAGTTACAAAGGTTTGCCACTGCTGAGGCTTAAACAGTAAAAGCAAGACAAGGTGTCTACAAAACAATCTACCATCTGGAACTACTGTTCCTTTTTAGTATTCCCTCTGATGGGAACTGAACATTTGTTTCTATCCAGTTTAAAACGAGAGACCAAATCAAAAGCCTCCATGTAGGATGCAGAGGTGAGAAAAAGGGCTGCCTGCCTGGGAGTTGTGACGAATCGTTCCGGGTTCTGAAGAGCCTGGGCTTCGTGGCGGGGATAGAGAGCTATCTGGAATAGTTCCTATGAGCTGAGCTGGTGACCCTGCAACTTTATTTGCAGACACAAACAGCCCAAACCTCTTCTGCAAGCGCTTGCAGCTCTCCAGAGGTTCCCTTTCCTCTGTGTGCATGTCTGTGTACAAGAGAGATTTCCCTCCTCGTGCCACCTTATCCCTGTTTTGCACACTGGACGGGATCCTTTCCCCCCCCAGGGCTGCTCAGGCAAATTGAGCCTCATGGCTGAGACTCTGCCCTTGACTGCCATGACAGCTGGCTGTGTGGTGACTGTATCTCGCTCCCCTCCAGCAACTACACCTTTTGCCCAAAGGGCCCTGGAGTGGCAATGGTATGCTCTTGACCCTTGACCCAGGCATCATCCTCTGCCATGGGACCCTTTCGTTCTGGACTCAGAGAACCCTGATGGCTCCCAATACAAAGTGCTGTTGGCTGAGAACTTCTCCTCAGACATCCGAATCCAGGTGCTTGCACCAAGTCAAGGCAAGAATCAAACTCCTAGTAGGACTTGGCTAAGTGGAGACCAAGGGGGCAACTTCCCAGTTTTGAGGTTCAATCCACTGTTTCATATCCAGTGGCACGAAACAGTGGGAGGCAGAACTTGTTCCGATGACCCCCATGCGGGCCCTCCCAGGATGTCTGGTCAATTTCACCTTTCGCAGCACCTCAGAAACCTGTTCTCTGAAGGTTGCCAGAGTCTGGACCGAAAAGTCCTTTCAGAATCTACCCTCTCCAGCCGCCATTCCCCAACACACCAGAAGGTGGACTCGAACCCGCCGTCTCGGAGAGCAAGAAACCAGGTCCCACCCGCAGCAACCGCCCCCCTCCCCTCCGTTCCACCCATTTCCCCGGTGGGCGGGACTTGGGCTTGACGCCAATCACGACACGTAGCGCAAGGACCTAGCGGCCCCCAAGCCCGGCGTTCCCCCCCCCCTCCTTTTTTTTCTTCCCACCGGAAGTTGCCTCAAGAGTAGCCTTAATGAGGAGGCGGAGGCGGAGTGACGTAGTTCCGGCGTGTCGCTGGTGCCCGAGAAGGGAGCGAGTTGTGAGGAAAAGCTTTAGTCGTCGCTTCCTCCTCTCCCCGTCGTCGAGGCTGGTGCCCCCTCCTTTTTTTTCTTCCCACCGGAAGTTGCCTCAAGAGTAGCCTTAATGAGGAGGCGGAGGCGGAGTGACGTAGTTCCGGCGTGTCGCTGGTGCCCGAGAAGGGAGCGAGTTGTGAGGAAAAGCTTTAGTCGTCGCTTCCTCCTCTCCCCGTCGTCGAGGCTGGTGCCGGGTTCGGTCAAGAGAGGGCCGCCGCTGGG